TGTGTATGCACCAAACAACAGAGATGAAAAATACATGAAGCAAAACTGACAGACTTGAAAGGAGAAACAGACAAATCCACAATGGTAGGTTGGAGACTTCAACATCCCTCTCTCAACAACTGATAGAAACTATACAGCACAGATACAGAAGACGTCAACAACACCATCAATCAACAGACTCAAACAACATTTAAAAAACACTCCACCCAACACATTTTTTTTCAAATGCCTACATAACATAGACCAAGATTGAATATATCCTGGGCCATAAAGCAAGCCTCAACAAACTTGAACTGAAATCATATAGTTTGTTTCTTCCACAATGGATACAAATGAGAAATCAATGAAAGATAACAGGAAAACCTCCAAACACTTGGGAACAAAACTCACTTAAATAATCCAATGGACAAAGAGAAAATCTCAAGGAAAATAAGAAAATGCATTAAATTTAATTAAACTGAAATATATGACAATTGGTGCAACACAGCTAAAGCAGTGCTGAGAGGGAAATTTATAGCACTAAATGCTTACAAAAGAATAGAAGAAAAGTCTCAAATTCATAATCTAAGCTTCCATCTCAAGAGCCTAGGGGTAAAAAGCTAAATAAAGCCAAAGCCAATAAAATAACATAATGAAGATGAGGAATTAATAAAATTGAAAAAGAGGGGAAAAAAGAAGACAGAAATTATCAATATCAGGAATAAAACAGGAGATATCACTACAGACCCTGCAGACATCAAAAGGATAAATAAATACTATGAACAATTCTACAAACATAAATTTGACAACTTAGGCAATATAAATCCCCTTCTCAAAAAACATAAATTGTCACAACTCATCTAATATAAAGAAGATAATTTTAATAAAATAGTCTGTCAGTTGTTTCCAAATTGATATAGTACATGTTTAATGCAATTCCTATCAAAATTTCAGCAAGAATTTTTGTAGATCTAGACATTATTCTAAATTTTATATGAAAAAAAGGAATTGGAACAGCTAAAAAAATTTTGAAAAAGACGAAAGTAGGGAGAATTAATCCTAGACATGTTATATAGTTACATTAATCAAGGCTGTGTGGCTTTAGTAGAGGGATAGACATAGATCAACAGAACAGAATAGAGAACCCAGAAACAAACCCACACAAATATGACCAAATGATTTTTGGCAAAGTATAAAAAAGCAGTTCGATGGAGGAAAGATAGCCTTTCAACAAACAGTGTTGGGACATTTGTCATTCTAAACCAAATAATAAACCTTGACCTAAGTCTCACATTTAACATACAAAAATCAACTCAAAATGGATCATGGACCTAAACGTAAAATGTAAGACTATAAAACCTTTAGAAAAAAACATAGGAGATCCTCTTTGGGGTCTGAAAATAAGCAAATAGTTCTTTTTTTTTTTTAGCTGAGCCATCCTGCCACCTGTTTGGCAACTCAGCGGCAGCTCAGCTCAGGCCAGGAATCAAACCTGCGACCCTGCTCAGAGCTTGCACTCTTGAGTGAGCTCTTAACCAATTGAGCCACTCGGCTGGCGCAAATAGTTCTTGATACCAAATAAACTTGACACCAAAAGCAGTCTATAAAAAGAAAAATTGATAAACTGGACTTCATCAAAATTAAAAACTATTACTCTGTGAAAGACCTATTAAGAGGATGAAAGGATAAGTTACATACTGGGAGAAAATATTTGCAAACCAGATATCCCAACAAAGGACTAATATCTAGAATATACTAAGGACTCAACATTCAACAGTAGTGAAATGACTAACATCATTAGACATTAGGGAAATGTAAATTAAAACCACACTGAAATATAACTACATAACTATCAGAATGCTAAAATAAAAATAAAAGTGACAGTGCCACATGCTGGTGAGGATGCAGAGAAAGTGGGTCACTCATACATTTCTGCTAGGGATGTAAAATAGTATAGCCACCCTGGAGACCAGTTTGGCAGTTTATTAAAAAGTTAAACATGCAACCACCATAAAACTCAGCAATTGTATTCTTGGGTATTTATCTCATAGACATGAAGTTTTATGTTCACCCAAATCCTATTAATAGAAGTTTTATTTGTAATAGCCCTAAACTGGAAACAACTCAGATGTCCTTCAATGGGTGAATGATTAAACAAACTGTGGTATACCAATGCCATATTACTCAACAATAAAAAAGAACAGACTTGATATATGCAACAGCTTGAGTGAATCTTCAGAGAATTATAGTTAGTGAAAACAGCCAATCTGAAAAGGTTACATACTGCATGATTTCAGCTATAAAACAGTTTTGAAATTATAACATTATAGAAATAGAGAGCAAATTTTTGGTTGCCAAAAATTAAGGTAGTAGTAAGGTCAAGAGGGAGGTGGGTGTGGCTTTAAAAGGGCAATATTAGTGATCCTTGCTGTGATACAGATACTCTGTTTCTCAACTTTACCAATGTCAACATCCTGGTTGTGATAATGTATTACAATTTTGGAAGATGTCCCCATTGGGGCAAACTGGGTAAAGGATATAACAGTACTCTCTGTATTATCTCTTACAGCTGCATGTGAATCTACAATTACCTCAGAATAACAAGTTTAGATAAAAATTAACTGGCCATATATGTATGGGCCTATTCTTTCCACTGATCTATCTTTATATCAACACTACACTATCTTGATTACTTGTAGTTTTACAGTAATTCCTGAATTTAGATTGTATTAGTCCTCCAACTTTATTATTCATCTTCAAAGTATTTTTGCTACTCTAGGTTCTTTACATTTGAACAAGAACTTTAGAATTGGCTTGTCAATTTCCAAAACAGCCTGCTGGAATTCTGACGGTGAGTAGTTTAAATCTATAAATCAAGTTGAGGAGAACTGACATCTTAAAAAATTGAATCTTCTATTCCATGAATATGGTATATCTTTTGATTCATAGATTACTTTAATTGCCTTCAGCAATGTTTTGTTTGTTTTAGTCTTGAACATCTTTTGACATATTTATCACTAAGGATTTCCTATTTTTAATCCTACTATAAAATATAGTTTAAAAATTTTAATTTCTGATTGTTCATTGCCAGCATACAAAAATACAATTGATATTTTTTGCCTATTAATTATCTTGTATTCTACAACTTTGCTAAACTCAGTTATTAGTTCTATAAGTTTTTTTTCTTTTTGTCTTTCTTTCCCTTTTTTTCTTTTTTTTTTTTTNCTCTGTGGCATTTGACTTCTTCACTTACTTTCATTTGATATAATATGAAAGGATTATAAAATTTTAGGTGTTTATTCTTATCTGATGATCTGAAAACGAGTTTAACCTTTTAGTATTTCTCTCATCCCATGTCTACACCCATATTGAAATAAGTTTCATTTTGCTTCTCTGTGACGCCTACCATATGGCATTTTGTAGTTCACAAAGTATTTTCACACACAGCATCACATTTTATCCCTAAAAACCCCACTGCAAGGACAGGCCGTTTATACACAGGATGGGAAAGAAATGGTTCAACGCCAGGTCTGCAGTCTCTCCTCTCTTGGAGGGGAGAGGATGTCCGGGGAAGGAAATCTCTTTGCAGACATGCTAGTGACAGAACTCCTGGAAAGAAAGGAATGGGTCTGCTAGCCAGAGGATCATTTCTGTGTGTGTGTGTGTGTGTGCGTGTGTGTGTGTGTGATGGTGGGGGGGACTGAAATAACACAAATTTATTTTCTCACAGTTCTGAAAGCTAGAGGTCCATGATCAAGCTGTTGGCAAGAGAGTCCTTATTTACAGGCTGCTTATAGCAAGATGTACCTGGTTTGTCTAAGATTATTTATGGTAAGTAATCCTGGAATCTGTGGGTTTACAGGGCATGGCTCCCTGGAAAATGTAACTATCTGGACATAAAATGGAGATGTTTCGTGATTAAAATAAGTTTCTTTTGTGTATGTAAAGTAGAAACCTCACATGTGAATCCTGGCCAGAGTGGGAAGTAGAGAGGAAATATGGGGCACTTGCACTGTGGTGCCAGGACTCGTGCTGCTCTGCCTATGCCTCATGGTCGCTGGTGTACTGACACTGTTAGTAAAGCCTGATGCTGGCTACGATCTCTGATTTGAGTGAGTGTGATTTCACAATCCAACCCTCTGCGTTACCCCACAAAGAAACTGAGGCTCAGAGTAGTTACGTGACTTACTGAGAGTCACATGCTAAAAAATGGCCAAATAGGGCTAGAAACCAAGTCTTAAATTGGAGTCTTTGTACCATGTGACACGTCCTAGTGTGATAAAAAAATAACAAAACCTGGGTTATGGATTCAGAAGCAGACTTGCCTCCCAGATCTACAACTGATCGGCTGTTGGATCTGGAGCAAATTACTTACAATGGCCTAAGCCTATTTCCTTATCTATGCAGTACCTTCTACACAAAATAGAAAAGGTATCCTAATGAAAAATCCAATAGAGCAATAGATAAACATGGCACAATAGAGCAGACCATTTCGAAACATTTTTAAAGGATGGAGGGAAAAATACTTATTACTTACTTTGTTCTTGTAATGCCTGCAATTTATTCAATTCCTCATTCTCTTCATCACTCTCTTCACTGCTTGTGCTGCTGACATCCAAAACTATGTCCCTTTTGGGGTCTACTCGGAGAAAATTTCGGCATTCAAAAGTTAGGTGGCCAGCTAGGTAAAACGAAAAAATGCGAATGACAAAACAATAGGTACATTACATATTGTTTCTTTTGTTGTCTGATGGTAATCAACAAGTTACAATTTTAATGATATAATGTTTAGTTTTAACTTTTATTCAGTGGGTGGTAGTTTGCTTTCCCTGAATGCAGTGCTCAGAAACTGAGAGCTTTCCCCTTTCTTCATCAAAGCATTTTTGTCAGGGTATTGAATTACTGTATTTTCCCTNAAGTTGGCACCATCACTGCGCTCTTCCCGGATGAGGCAGACCAGTTACCGGCCTCTGGACGGCTGCTCACTGCAGCTGCTGGCCGCTCACGCTGGGTGCTGGCTACACACGGTAGCCTGTGGCAACCCACTGCAGCCTATGCCATCGCTGGCGACTCACGGCAGCCCAGCTCCAGGTTGAGCTGTTGTTCAACATCTTAGCTGTAGAGGGCAGTGTCACTGGCCCTCAATGTGGGATCCGAACCGGGGCCCTCTGGCGTCCCAAGCCAGCTCTTAACCAACGCGCCACTCGGCCAGCCCCAAATAGACAGTTTTGACTTTTTCTTTGCATCTGGATGACTTTGATTGCTTTTTCTTGCCTTATTGCATGGCTAGAATCTCTACTACAATGTTGTATAGAAGTGGTAGGAATAAACATCTTTGTTTTGTTCCTTATGCTATAAAATATTCAGTCTTTTATTGTTAAGTAGGACATAATCTTTCAGTTTCTTTTTTATAGACATCCTTTAACATATTGATGAAGTTCCTTTCTTTTCATAGTCTGCTGAGAATTTTTATCAGAAATGGACAAGAGACTGCCTCAAATAATTTCTCAAAATACTGTAATTATTACATAGCTGCTCTTTTTTAATGTTAAAATGGTGAATTACATTGACTGATTTTTGAATATGAAACGAATCTTATAATCCTGGGATAAACTAGTTGGTCATAATACTGTATTATCATTTTTACATATTGTTGGATTTGATTTGCTAAACTTTTAATTGCTTAAAATTCTCTTTGTGTCTGTATTTATAAAGTCTACTTTTCTTGTAGTGTCTTTATCTGGTTTTCTTATCAGGGTAATGCTGGTCTTATAAATTGAATTGGAATGTATTCCCACTTTAATTTTTAAAAGATTTTATTTAGAAATGGTATTATGGCCTTTTGAGCATTTTGAGCCTTGCTCTGCTCAAGGCCCGCTCCAAACTCCTTGGAGTGCACTTTTCCTCCTAATAATGGCTCCCTGGCGCTGGCCCTGGCCCTTGGCCGTCTTGAGCCTTTTGAGCTTCCTTTGCTTGGCTAGCTCCAAACTCTCTGGGGCGTACTTCCTTTTCTAATAATGGCCCTTGAGCCATTCTCTACTGCTCAGGCCCACCTCTGCTTCTTTGAAATGTATTTTTACTTTTAGTAAACTCCTTTTCTGCAACTTAAAAAAAAAAAAAGACATGGTATCATTTCACCTTTAAATGTTTGGTAGAATTCATGAAAGAAGCCATTCAGCTTTGGAGATTTCTTTGCTGAAAGTTTTAAAACTTTAATATTGGGTCGTCAGAAAGGTCATGATGCATGTTTGCAACAGATGGCACTAGTTCATTTTTGGAAGTACTAGAGTCTTTTGCATCTATATTATTGCTATGTCATTGGACAGCTGACAGTTCTAGCTTCATTCTAGAAAAAAATTGTGCGATTTGGTTGAGTTTTGGAGATTTTACAACAAGCTGAAGATGGAAGACCAAAATGTGCATTTTTTACATATTTTACTGTTTTATTTCCATGAAGGGAAGAACACGCATCAAGCTTGTGAAAAGTTGCATAAAGTTTATCGCGACAATGCTCTACAAGAACATCAGTGCCAATGACGGTTCATGAAATTCCGTGCTAGTGATTTTGATCTCAACGATGCTCCTCCGTCAGGGAGGCCCACCGAGGTTGATGATGACAAAATAAAGGCATTGATAGAGTCAAACCCATGTTACATGACACAAGAGATTGCAGAAACATTGAACATCCATCATTCAAGCATTCGCAACCACCTGAAGAAGCTGGGATATGTAAGCAAGCTCGATATTTGGGTTCCGTATAAACTCAAAGAAGTTCACTTGACAGCATGTATAAACATCTGCAATATGCTCATTAAACATGGGGAAAAGGATCCTTTTTTGAAGCAATTGATAACTGGTGATGAGAAGTGGATTGTTTGCAACAATGTGGTGCACAAACGGTCTTGGTCCTGACGTGATGATTCGCCTCAAATGACATGGAAAGCAGACATTCATCAGAGGAAGGTAATGCTCTGTGTGGTGGGATGGATTTTAAAGGTGTCGTGTTTTTTGAGCTCCTACCAAGAAACCAAACAATCAATTCGAATGTGTACTGTTGGCAATTTGACAGTTTGAATGAATCCATCATCCAGAAACGTCCAGAGTTTGTTAATTGTGAAGGAGTTATATTCCATTGCGACAACACGAGACCATACACAAGTTTGATCACCCGTCAAAAATTACTGGAGCTTGGATGGGATGTGTTGCCACACCTACCATACTCGCCTGACCTTGCACTGTCAGAATTCCACTTGTTTACTTTCTTCAAAACTCCTGGGATGCTCTGGGGCTGGAGGAGGCGTGTCCCAGGGCAGCCAGGCACCAGTCAGGAGGAGGAGGACGTGGTGGCGGCAGATGAGATGGAGGAGGAGAGTGAGGAGGCGAGACCCACTACCAGTCAGTTAGGCCTCAAGCGGAAGTCAGGCACAGGAGGGCCTCACGAAAAAAAGCCCCTGGGGAAGCGCGCCAAAGACAGTTCAGAGTCCGTTTACGAGGCCCTATTCATCAAGGGGGAAGACAGTGCTGTGCAGATCCGCGCACTAGGGGAGGCGTGGAACTTGCAGAGTCTACTTACGCCAGTCAGGTTACTCTGCTAGCATGTTCAGTGGTGCTTGGAGGGAAGCAACCATGAATACTATAGAGATGCAGATGCCTGACGAGAACATTGATCCTGATGCACTTCACAAGGCTTTAGGCTCCCTGTACCAAGACTCCGTGTTCATCCCACCCAGCCGAGTCCTCTCCATCCTGGCCACCGCCAGCATGCTGCAGCTGGACAAGCTAATTCAGCAGTGTGGGAAAGTCATGAAGGAGACTGTTAGTGCCCAGACCGTGTGCAGCTACTACTACTCTGCTGAGAGCTACAGCCTCCTAAACATCAGGACCATGTGCTTCCAGGGGCTGCTGGACAACCTGATGACCCAGCCTAATGAGCAGCTATTGCGAGACGTGAGCCTGGATCTCATGAAAGAGCTCAGCGCATCTTCAGAGCTCCTCGTGATGTAGGTGGAGATGGACGTGTACACCAAGCTGAAAAAGTGGATGTTCCTGCAACTGCAGCCCCCATGGAGGGGTTCCCGCAGAGCCTTATTGCCAGACACCAACTCGTGGTTTGACAGGTCCAAGCAGGAGTCGGGGGGCACCCCTTTCCTGGAGACTCAGCAGGGCAGAGCCTTCGTGCCAGTGTTCCAGCAGCTGCGTCTGGCCTACATACTCTGCGACCTGTCGTCAGCACGCACCATTGACCACGATGCAGTGATCCCTGCTGAATGGCTCACCCCAGTGTATAGAGAGCAGTGGCTTGCCCTCCTCCGGGTTGAGCAAATCAGGGACCTCGGGTCCATTAACATCAATGTGTCTGCCCTCCATAGGAACAGCATGCGCTGCGGGGACCAGCTCTGCAGGGCTGAGATGTGCAGCTGGCGTTGGACTGGCTTCCACTTTGGCTGGGACCTGGTGGTGTCCTACACCAACCGGCGCATCATTTTCCGGCGCGGCGTGGTGAACAAATGCGGCGGTCCCATGGTCAGCCTACTCTGGCAGAGAAAGATTGCATTCCGCCTGCGCTTGGCTTCCTTGTACAGGGCTGGAAATGCCGTTTTCAGGAAGGACACAGAATACCAGATCCTTTCCCTGAAAAATGAGCAAGAGCTAGTGGTAGTGGACCTGGAGAACCAAATGTGGTCTTCCCCATGTATGTGGCCTGTAACTTCCTGTGCCTCTGCAGAGAGGAGCACGGCCCACAGTGAGGACTAGTGCAAAAGCTCAGAGAGCTGAGCCGCTCTTCCCGGGGCACAGGGGTGGCCAGCTTTCTCCAGATGCCGGCTCCCTCCATGGGATCAAGTGGCTTGCCCATCTCTGATGACCAGCTGTCAGAGGCTTTGTTGAACTGTAGTTCGTAACACCTGAGACTATTTACTGGCGCTGACGAAGAGGACACATTTGAAGCCCCCAAACTCATCCGTGCTGTTAATCTCCAGAACTCATCCGTGCTGTTAATGTGGCAACCTGTCCTCCTGGTTTAACATACATCGACCCCCACATTATTTCTGTGAAGACCAAGACCAACTGACTTTAGAGAGAAAACGTGAGCCTACCTACTCTACTACTCTTAGTGAAATTCTTTTCCTTTAGTTTTATTAAGTAGAATGTTAATTGACTACTTTGACTTTTCTTTCACTTGGTGGGTTTAGAGCAGCCCTGCCTCACTCATCACTCCCAGCACAACTGGTTCTATTCTGATTGCTCTCCCTTCCCCATTTCTTGCCACTGTCTGTTGTACTTGGTTTCCATGGCCTCTCACTATGTGATCACACCCAGAGTACAATGATGGTCTTTTTGTTGGTTGTTCTTTAATCTAAGAGTACCTTGATGTTAGTTAGACTTTCCTATTACTTCCCTAGCATTTTCACCCCAGAAAGACATTTCCAACTGCCACCATCCCATTCCCTCCCAAATACCCTACCTGTTTGCATTTCATTGAGTGGCTGTTGTGCTTAAAGGTCAATGCCTTGAAAACTCTGTTTAAGAATCCATACAAATAATAAATACATGCTTCAAAAGAGTGTAAAAAATAATAGAAGGTGAACAAATAAATTTTAAAAGTTAAAAAAACAAACAAAAAACTCCTTGCATGGTATAATGTTCAATTCAGATGAGGCTGTAACTCAGCACCTTGTTCAG